CTGTTTGTCTGTCTGTCTGTCTGTCTGTCTGTCTGTCTGTCTGTCTGTGACTTTTGTGTTGTCTTTCCTTTCCCGGCATGTCTCTGACTTCCACCATGTCACTGTGTCTCAACCGATTCCCTCCCTTTTCTCCCCCTAGAATAGGATCTCACGTAGCCCAGGCTGGCTTTGAACCCGATATGTAGTCAACAACGACCTTGAACTTATGATTCTCCTGCTGCCAACCTCTGGCATGCTAAGATTACATGTGTATACTAAGATATCAAATTAATGGGTGTGGTGATTGCACTTAGGACCTGGTGAATGTTAGACAAGCACCATATCTCTATCTGTCTGTCCATCCACCCGGCTTCCATCTCTCTGCATCCCTGCCTTGTCCCTTCCATCCCCCGCTTGGCCTCCTACTTGTGGTGTCTATATTCATCTGTCTGCCTCTCTCCAGCCTGCCTCTCTCCCAGAAAAATGCTCTTGGGAGTGATGGATGGTCCATTAGAGAAAGATTAACAGGTGTGTGCTGCCTGGAGAAACAGCTGTTGCGGGGGAGGAGGGAGGCGAGTTAGTGACCTTTCTGAAGCGCAGTGGCTCCAGCACGGTTGGAGGGAACATGCACACATTGTATTCGGCTAAGAGCCAGTGGATGGCCATCAAGGACCCGTCAGCAGCCACCCTTCTCATCTCCGAAGATTTAATTTGGGTGGGCTGAGTGAGCAGTATCAGAGTCCTTCCCACCTACGCCCTTCCCAGGGTCCTGCTCCCCTTGCATTTTGTGAGTCAAATGTAATTATGGATGGAAATGGGTCCCTCTCCTTTTATCTGGGCTTGAGAGGAACTGGCAGTTTTATTGGATTTCCTGGGCACTAGGGATGGGAAGCTGGTGGCTGCATATTTTTTCTTTCTTCTTGTAAGCCATATGGAATCAAAGTTGGGCCCTTGGGGTTCCCTGCTGCTCTCGGTGGAAGGGCTGAGTTTGGAGTTAGGGTGCTAGCAGGTGGGAGATGGCTTCCTGTCGTGGCACTTGCTTGCCATCCAGCCCTTGCCCTGGCTGGGAGTTTGGCTTGGTTATCCTTCTCTGCTCCCCTGTGTCACCAGCTCTCTTCCTTTACTTTCTACAGGAGGCTGCTTGGCTCCCCAACACTTACCCACAAGCCATAACTAGCTCTACCAGTGTTGGTGGGTCTGGCTTTGTTTTTAAGGTGATCCGTGGCACTCTGCCACTGAGAGTGGGCACCCTCTGGCCCCTTCAGGAACATAGGCCCTGGGAGCACAATGCAGGTTCTTGGAAGACCTATGTGATATACCCAGGAGTGAGCAGATGAATGAGCGAGTGAATGGCTGGTTCAGGCAGGATTTCTGCGTGCTTCATTGGAATCCACTATTCCTGCTGGGTGGTTTTGTGCAAGACAGCCCCTACCACCCAGCCGGTTTCCTTATTTATCAGATGGAAAGCTCAGTGGTGGCTTATCAGTCTTTGAGGTTCAGTGAGGGAGGAATAAGTGGCCATTCTTTTTCTAGATTCAGGCAGGAGTCATTGGTATACCCCTGAGCATAAGCTAGGTCCTTCACTGTGGAGAGGAGGGACTCCTTGCCTGGCCCTTAGCCAGAGACTGGGAGTCCAAGAGGCATGCAGTAGGAACCCTGTTTTTTATTTCCACTTCCTGGCCCATCTGTAACATGGCTAGTGTAATGTCTCCCAGCGCACAGTACCTGCACCACTTGTGGTGCCTCACTCCTTAGTAGATGCCACTTTCCAGGATCCAAAGGTAGCACAGCTAAGAAGCCCGACAGACTGCAGTGCAATGACAGGGACCCAGTAGGGTCACACATTCTCTGCCCCCACATCCCACAGCCCGAGAAGCTAACCAACATTCTGGAGATCTGTAATGTTGTCTTCACCAGCATGTTTGCCCTGGAGATGATCCTGAAGCTGGCTGCCTTCGGGCTCTTCGACTACCTGCGAAACCCTTACAACATCTTTGACAGCATCATTGTCATCATCAGGTAACCACACTGCCACCCCGAAGCTGAGGAGCAGGAGTGAGAGCCCCAACCCTCAATAGCACAGGAAGTCTCTGAATGACAAAGGAAATCATTACTGACAGGCAGTTATCTAAATAACGAATAAACTGGTAATTTAGTAATAAATGCTTCTGCATTAATGCGCTCAATAGAGGTAGCAGCGAGTCTGAGGCCACCAGAGTTCCAAACAGGAGTTGGAAACACACAGAAATAGCTACATCAATCATTATGCAACCTGAAGATATCGGCTATTTTGATTGCTCATGGCTATGGCTGATTCTCTGGTTTGTTGTTTACATTCACAATCAAAAAAGCATGCAACCTCAGAAAGAGGATAGTGACAATCAGAGACTTGAGAGGCTTTAGACAAAGACTGCTGCCTCCTCCTCTTTGTCCTTCTTTCCCTGTGAATGTGCCCGTGTGTGTAGGTCAGAGGACAACTTGGCAGGAGTCACTTCTTGTCTTCTATGTGGGTCCTGAGGATTAAACTCAAATCATCAGGCTTGGTTGCAAGCTTCTTGACCTGCTGAGCCATCTCACCAACTCTAGAGCCACAGACCTCTTAATGTAGTATCCAGGGGCTCCTGGCTAAGAAACCCTGGTTTAGGGGGTGCTGTGGAGTAGCACCCAACAGCATTTTTTAGACGGATGATGTAAGCTGTTTCTCTGTCCTTCTTGCCCTGTCTGCCTCTTCCATCTTCCCATCCCCTTGGCCTCCCACTGACCCCTGCAGCATATGGGAAATCGTGGGGCAGGCGGATGGAGGCCTGTCGGTGCTGCGCACCTTCCGGCTGCTGCGGGTGCTGAAGCTGGTGCGCTTCATGCCGGCGCTGCGGCGCCAGCTCGTGGTGCTCATGAAGACCATGGACAACGTAGCCACCTTCTGCATGCTGCTCATGCTCTTCATCTTCATCTTCAGGTGAGCCACCACCACCCAGGGCTCAACACTGGGGACCTGATGGGGGCTGTGGGCGTGAGCCTGGGATGTGGTGGCTGATGGAAGATCCTAGGGACAAAGCTGCCAGGATCTGGCTGTGAAGCCCAGCACCATCACTCAACCCTGATGGCTCCGGGCAGGTCCTTCCTCTGAGTCTCAGCATTCCCCTCTATTAACATGGGCTTGAGATCCCCCTCTATTCTGTTTCTGGGTGACCTTGGGCGTTGCAGAGAACTCAGTGCACGGTCTCATGAGCCACTCCCTTCCTTCCACAGCATCCTTGGGATGCATATCTTTGGCTGCAAATTCAGCCTCCGCACGGACACTGGAGATACAGTTCCTGACAGGAAGAACTTTGACTCCTTATTGTGGGCCATTGTCACAGTGTTCCAGGTGAGTGACAACTGAAGCTCATGAACTTCAAGGGTGTGTGTGGGAAATGTCTGAAGAGCAGGTCTGGGAGTGGCTGAGGCTGACAGCCTGGGCTTGGGGGGATCCCAGGGCTGAATTGTGTCCTTCTCAACAGATCCTCACTCAGGAGGACTGGAATGTCGTTCTCTACAATGGCATGGCCTCCACCACCCCATGGGCCTCCCTCTACTTTGTTGCCCTCATGACCTTTGGCAATTATGTACTCTTCAATCTCCTGGTGGCCATCCTGGTAGAGGGCTTCCAGGCCGAGGTAACTATATCCCTGGGCAGGTCACTGGGCAGCAGACAGGGAGTCAGGGAAGACAAGAAGACTGTGTTTTGTGGCCAAAGTCCGTGTTAACCTCTCAGGTCCCTGTTCTGAACCAGTTTCCCCATCTGTAAAAGGGGGGTGGAAGCACCCACTGAAAAACCCCAAGGGCAGGGTAGGAAAAGGCAGAGCCGACCTGTTCCAATGTGAGCTGATCTTCCAGGGTGATGCTAATCGCTCCTACTCTGATGAGGACCAGAGTTCATCCAACATGGAGGAGTTTGACAAGCTCCCAGAGGGCCTGGACAATAGTGGGGGTAAGCACATGTTCACTTTCCGCTCAGGGTCAGAAGCCTTCCACAGATCCCCAGATGGACATAAGGCACAATGGCTTCCCCATGAAACCTAGGCTCAGGCACTGCTGTCTGTTTTGTTTTGTTTTGATTTATACCTGAAAGAGATGTGTGGTCTCAGGGAAGGACATCCACAGACCTCCTGGGTTCCCCTAGAGAGCCCACCTGCTTCCCTTCCCACATGGGGCCCTGAGTTAAAGCTCCAGTGTCTTAGGATGTGGCCTGTGTCCTGTTCATGTCTGATACCACTAGGGAGCCTCTTTCCAACCAAGCCCAGTGTCCATGGTAACCCAAGGGGACAGTCCCTGCCTGTGAGCATGGGAGTGAGGTCCTCCTGCTGCGTGGAGGTCTAGTCCCCTCCCAGAAGAGAGGGGAAGGTTCATGAGGAGGCAAATAAACAGCCCTGTAGGGAGAAGTAGGCAGAAGCCTCCAGGACTTTCAGGTAGAGGATGCCTCCCTAGAAAAGGTCTCCATCTACACATATCTACTTCTGATTGTCTCATGGCTTCTTCTGCTCTTCCGTCTGTCTGTCTGTTGTCTTCATCTCATACCTCCAGATCTCAAGCTCTGCCCAATACCCATGACACCCAATGGACACCTGGACCCTAACCTCCCCCTGGGTGGGCATCTGGGTCCCACTGGTGCCATGGGCACTGCCCCCCGCCTCTCACTGCAGCCAGACCCGGTACTGGTGGCCCTAGACTCCCGCAAAAGCAGTGTCATGTCACTGGGCAGGATGAGCTACGACCAGCGTTCCTTGGTGAGTCCTGTGGGTGCTGTGAAGGATGCTCCCTGCTGGAGGTGGAGGGTACTAAGGGACTGAGGCACGAAGTGCCCTGCCTAGGGTACCACTCTGTCTAGTCTAAACCAGGCAGGGTCTGTGTTTATGGTAATTCTGGTGTTCTGTGCCAGAACAGGTCTTGGTAACTGGAATGAAAGACTGTGGTCTGGGGGAGAGACCTGGGGTTTCATCTTGGCAGCAGTGTATTGACTTCGGGAGTAAGGCCAACTAGAAGTTTAATCTGGTCTCTGCCACCTCTGAGCTGTGTAAAAGCGAGCAAATTTATCACCTTTCCCTGAGCTGTAAAGCAGGTCCTTTTTACTATACGCTTTTCTCAAAGAAGGAGGGGTTTTAACCCGAATCGTGCATTTGAGTGGGTGGGCTCACTCTAGCATGGCTTGCAGGAAGTCTTTTCTCTGGTGCTAGATTATGGTGTGGGTGGCTGCTAATCCAAGCCCGGGCCTCTCCGCAGTCCAGTTCCCGGAGCTCCTACTATGGGCCCTGGGGCCGCAGCGGGGCCGGGGCCCCCCGCCGCTCCAGCTGGAACAGCCTGAAGCACAAGCTACCCTCAGCTGAGCATGAGTCTCTGCTTTCCGGGGAGCGTGGTGGCAGTTGCGCCGGGGCCTGTGAGGGAACCCGGGAGGAGGCGCCAGCCCGCATCGCACCTCTGCATGCCCCGCATGCCCACCACGCACACCATGGACCCCACCTTGCGCACCGTCACCGCCACCACCGCCGGACGCTGTCCCTCGACACCAGGGACTCAGTGGACCTGGCAGAGCTGGTGCCTGTGGTGGGTGCACACTCGCGGACTGTTTGGAGGGCCCCGGGACAGGCTCCCGGGCATGAGGATTGCAATGGCAGAATGCCTAACATCGCCAAAGATGTCTTCACCAAGATGGATGACCGCCGTGACCGTGGGGAGGACGAGGAGGAGATCGACTACGTGAGTAGGGACCGAACAGGACCCATGAGAAACTGGACTGTGAAAGCAGTCTGCAGGGCAGGAAGAGGCAGATCCGAGGGACCTGGTTTTGGGTGGTCCTGGAATGGTGGGTGGGGCTGGAGGGCGGGGCTAGAACTGCTCGCACCTGACCTACCCTGTCACCAGTCCTTTGGTTGGGGACTGGGGGAAGAGTTCAGAGCTCATCCCGTGTCCCCAGTTTGTTGGCTGGCAGAGTGGGAAGAGGTGGGCCGTTCTGCACAACGCCAACCCTGGCACCCAATTCCTTGCCTTGTCAGACCCTGTGCTTCCGCGTCCGCAAGATGATCGATGTCTACAAGCCTGACTGGTGCGAGGTCCGTGAGGACTGGTCGGTCTACCTCTTCTCCCCGGAGAACAAGTGAGTAGTGGCTGACTGGGAGTGAGGGCCAGAGGATAAGGGTGACATGTTTAGGAGAGTTCTTTACCAAGCTGGGCAGGGCACCTCCACATACCAGACAGCGGAAGGTCTTCAAGGGAAGGGGAGGGTCCAGATGGCTCTCCTTGGCTTTCCTGAGCATCCTTTTTTGTTTTAAGCCAGCCATGTGCTGGGGAGGGTCTGGGCAGATCCACAGACTGCTTGAAAGCTCAGACGAGCCCCTTCCTATCAGAGGCCTTTGTATTGAGTGTTAGAGGCAGATGGTTGGCCTCATTATGTCAGTGCATGGTTGGGGAAGAGGCTCCAGTTGGGCACCTTAGGCAGCTGGTGAGTGGCTACAGGAAGGGAGAGAGATCCCTTCCTCTCGGCCATTCTGGTCCCTGAGTGTGTGTATTGGTTCGCTGTCTTCCTTCTGGTTGGAGTGGGAGGCAAACTGACCCTCCTGGGGGTTCCTTGACTATCACTTAGGTTCCGGATCCTGTGTCAGACTATCATTGCTCACAAGCTCTTCGACTATGTGGTCTTGGCCTTCATCTTCCTCAACTGTATCACCATTGCTCTGGAGAGGCCCCAGATTGAAGCTGGCAGCACTGTGAGTGGCTGCAGCCCTGGGGCTGGGCAAGAGGGTCACAACGCTGGTGATGGCCAAGGTGGGGGAGCCCAGAAAGAGCTCAGCCAAGCCAGACACTTAGAATGGAGAGAGAGAGAGAGAGAGAGAGAGAGAGGTGTGACTGGGAGCCTGCCTATGAGAGCGGAAAGCCACTACACTAGATCTGAGAAATAACGGCTGATCCGGGATGAAGCAGAGAGTTGACCAGGCACTTGGGCAGTTGTGGAAGACTTGGACTCACGGATTCTCCCACTCTTTCAGGAGCGCATCTTCCTCACGGTGTCTAACTACATCTTCACAGCCATCTTCGTGGGCGAGATGACACTGAAGGTTGTTGTGGGCTTCACCAGGATCCTTCCCACCCCCACCTGGAGCCCCTGGCCTAAGCCTCACCTCTCCTGCTGGCCTGGCCCTCAGCAACATTCCACAGGCCCCAGAGGTCCACTCCTGTTGGGCTCTAGAACCTGAGTGGAGCTTCTGGGATGAGAGGGGATCAGTGGCAGGCAACCTCTCCTCCAATGGTCAAACACAGTCAGAAGGGCACATTTAGGTAGAAGCAACACCCCGGGATGCTTTCCAGTGTGGGTAGTTTTGGATTGAGATCTCGTAGTCGTGCTCTGAGACCATAGCTTGGAGACTTCCCTGGGCTCTGTTCCTTCCTGTCTATCGCCAGCCTTCAGAAGAGCTGTCATGAGCCATACCCCACCCATCGCCTCCTTAGAGGAGGTGGACCTGACCTCCTTTGTCCTGTCCCTGGGGGTAGTCTTCTGAACACCTCCACTTCCCAAGGCTTGACCCTAACCCCGCCCTCAGGTGGTTTCTCTGGGCCTGTACTTCGGTGAGCAGGCATACTTACGAAGCAGCTGGAACGTACTGGATGGCTTCCTGGTCTTTGTGTCCATCATTGATATAGTGGTATCTGTGGCCTCCGCCGGTGGAGCCAAGATTCTGGGGGTCCTCCGGGTCCTGCGGCTCCTACGCACCTTACGCCCCTTGAGGTAAGGATCCTGCTGCAACGTATGGGGGTGGAGTGGAGGACAAGTGTTGCCGCACTGTATAGGGAAATTGCCCAAGTCTAAGTGGACCATTATTCTGGCTTGACAATGCAGCCTCCCAAAAGCATTGGGCCAAGCAAACCATGCTGCTGGGGGAGGAGTCAAAGAGCCTAGGGCAAGGGCTCAACTTGCTTCCACGGTGTTACCTCCTCTGTGTTCTTGGGTGGCTTACTGCCATCTCTTGGTGTCACCTCTTGGGGGTGGTGTTTACCCTGTGGGGACTGGGTGTGGGGTCAAGTGCCCTTCTATGTATTGACCTAAGTAGAGATTGCTGCTCACCCCTTGTCCTAGGTAACCTGGCAACTATCGCTTCATTTCCTATTGGGACCTCACCTTTCAGGAGGTCTGGTGAGTGTGGACTGAGTTGAGGTTGTCTCTCTGTTGGCTCACAGTGCCCTGTCCTTCCTTGCCTGCCTGCAGGGTCATTAGCCGGGCCCCTGGCTTGAAGCTGGTGGTGGAGACACTCATCTCCTCCCTTAAGCCCATCGGCAACATTGTGCTCATCTGCTGTGCCTTTTTCATCATCTTTGGCATCCTGGGGGTGCAGGTGAGGGGGTGCCCACTTTGTGGGGTGACAAGAAGCCCAGCACAGACTATTCATACCCACTCCACTGCACCTGTGTTCACTCACTTGGGGATTCGGGTGGTCTTGGTGGAGCCAAGTGAAGGTGGCAGACCCAGCTTGGGGTGACTGAGCAAGGGGCAGGTTGTGAGGGTCAATTCCTTCCCGCCTCTGACTGTGCCTCCCTCACCCTGAGCAACCAGCTCTTCCCTCCTTTCACACAGCTTTTCAAGGGAAAGTTCTATCATTGTCTGGGAGTGGACACCCGAAACATCACCAACAGATCTGACTGTGTGGCTGCCAACTATCGCTGGGTGCATCACAAATACAACTTTGACAACCTGGGCCAGGTGAGCACTTCAGGGGTCACAGGTCCAACTCTAGTCCTGCGTTGTTGGGACAGACCCCATGCTTTTTCTTTTCTCTCTGGGCAGCAGTTTCTCATCCTGTAAAGTGGGTGGGGGTGCAGCTCTGATCACAGTAGGTGTGAGGCTGGGACCCTGTGTGCAGACTCTGCCAGCATGTGAAACTTGGCAGGCATTTCATGAACACTCATTCTGGTCTTGCCTTCCCACTCATTCTGATCTTGCCTTCCCACCTAAGGGACAGTAATGGGAGTTTTAGAGCCGTCCACTCCTGGGCATACATCCTAGCTTTTTTTTTGGTACATGTGTTTCTTCTTCTGTCATATGGGATGTGACAGCCCAGTAGGTTAGTTGAGCTAGTGATGAGTCCATGTGACCCCCTGGCCTGGTGGCTTCTCTTGCTTAGCAATTATGTCAGCATTTGGGGTCCTACTTTGCCTTTGATCCCATCTCCTGGGACCTGATGTATTTGGCTAGTGTTTCAGATGAGAGCTTTTTCCAAAGAACCTCCTTTTCCATCCCCACAAAGGCCTCAAGGAAGAGAGGGGACTGTCTTTTCCCCCAGAGTGCAAGAAGAAGCAGAGTCTAGACTAGTAGTCCTTCACTGGAGCTCCCTCACTGGTGGCTGGCTGCTCACTGGTGGCTGCTCACTGATGGCTGCTCACTGGTGACCCCTCATGGGTGGCTGGCTGCTCACTGGTGGCCTGTGGTAGATTTCCTGATGCTCCCTCACAGATCCACACTCTCACACTTGAGTTAACAACAGAGGCTGGGGTGACGCCCAGGACTCCTGAACTTCTGATTACAGTTGCTGGGGATTCATCAGGTGACAATGGCACAGCCACTCAGGCTTGTCAGGAAGTGTCCCATCTAAAGGCTCACTGGCCTTTTCACAGGATCCTGTGATCCTGCCATGGGTCAGGGCATGGGAGTGCATGGACATTCTTGCTGGGACATTCCATAGACAGTTAACTTCCAGAACTGAGATGGTAGCTCAGGACTTTGGCTCCAGTTCTCCTTCTAACCCCACAATAGCAGCTGCAGGGCACACAATAGGCACACAGTAGGTGCTCAAAGAGGCTGCATCAGCTGAAGGCACAGCTCTACTACTCAGGAAGACCTCTTTGTCTTTTGGTCTCCTAGAGGCAGAACAGTAGAGGACTGATGTACACACATCCCTCACCCTTACCCCTTCCTTTGTCTTCCAGGCTCTGATGTCCCTCTTTGTCTTGGCCTCCAAGGATGGCTGGGTGAACATCATGTATAACGGACTGGATGCTGTTGCTGTGGACCAGCAGGTGGGCATGGCTTGGGCCATAGCTGATGAGGATGGTGGGGAGGGACCTATAAGTCACCTCTGGCTCTTGGTCTCCTAGAACCCACCAGGCTATATCTGGAGCTAGACAAGGTGAGGAGGGTCAGGGGTGATGAGTATACTTGTAAGTGTTCCTCTACTCCTTGTCTGCCTCTCTCCTCTTCTTAGCAATGGACTTCACACACTATTCTGAGGTTGGCTGCCTCCTGCACACTTTGTTTATGGATGGACGAATAAGTGGCTGGTGGATGAGTGGCAGGTTGAGTGGATGGAAGAAGGCTGGGTAGATGGATGGATGGCAGATGGATAAGTGGTGGGCGGGTGGGTGTAGATGGAAGGATGAGTGAATGGATAGATGAATAAGGGCGTGGGTGGTAAGGTGGATGAATAGATGGATGGACAGGTGCATAGATGAATACATGAGTGGGTGAATGGATAGATGGATACATAGAAGATAGATAGATAGATAGATAGATAGATAGGTAGATAGATAGATGAGGGGTCAGGTACACCTTTAATTCCAGCACTCAGGAGGCAGAGGCAGGCAGATCTCTGAGTTTGAGGCTAGCCTGGATTACAGAGGGAGTTTCAGGACAGCCAGGGTTACACAGATTGCCAGCTTCAAAAAATCAAAAAAATATAGATGAATGAGTGGGTGGGTGGATGGATAGATGATTGGGTTTATGGATGGAGAGATGTGTGTGTAAATAGGTGAATGGATGAGTGAGTGGGATGATGGGTAGATATAAATAGGTTGGATAGATAATGGGTGGATGGATGGTTGAGTGGGTAGATGGGGGGGTGATGGAATGGTGGATTGGATATTTGGTGGATGGATGGATAGATGGGTGTGTGGGTGAGTGGGTAGATGAATGGATGGGTGAATGGGTGGGTGGATAGGTGGATGAATGAGTGGGTGGATGGGTGGGTGGGAGGTAGATGAGTTGGGTAGGTGGTGGTTAGATGAATTCTTGCATGGGAGAATGGGTGGTAGGTCAATGAAAAGGCAGCAGACCAATGTGTGCAGAAGGCAACCACAGGCGCAGGGAAGGAGAGGTCAGCCCTTTTGCTGACCTCCTTACTCATGTCAGGCCCAGGCTAGACATTTCCCATTTGCTGTGTTGTTTTCACCTTACACTTTGGAGGTTAACTGTCCTAACTGCCCCGTGACAGTGAGGCTTGGTGAGATCATGTGCTCGTCTGTGGCCTTGCTGTGCAGATCGGCTTCCTCAGCTCTCACTCTGCCTCCCTGCAGCCTGTGACCAACCACAACCCCTGGATGCTGCTGTACTTCATCTCCTTCCTGCTCATCGTCAGCTTCTTTGTGCTCAACATGTTTGTGGGAGTGGTTGTGGAGAACTTCCACAAGTGCCGGCAGCACCAGGAGGCTGAGGAGGCCCGGAGGCGCGAGGAGAAGCGGCTGCGGCGACTGGAGAAGAAGCGCCGCAGTGAGCAGATGGTGGATGCTGGGATGGGCAGGGTCTCTACTCACCGCTGTGCCTCCTGGGCAGGGCCCTAGGGTGGGCCTGATGAGGCTGCTGGGCCTTTGGAATTGGAGGGGAACAAAAGATTGTATCCATCATTTGCCTTTGGCCCAGCCCTTGTCCAGGTGCCCTGAGCCCATTAGTAATGACATCACTGCCCACCTGGGTGAAGCCTGTGCAGGGTACGCCAGTGCAGGCAGAGACAGTGAGGCAATCTTTTGTATGGGCATCACTGAGTGGGAACTTTCAGAACACAGCTCCTGTCATGTTCTTCCTTATGCAAGTTGTATACAGTTTCAGGGATAGTCATCCACCCCTAGATAGCCAGCCTTAGGACTCTTGACTCTGCCTATCAGACCTACAATCCTTATCATGGGCCTTTTGGGGGGTATTTGAATAATGTGTACCCTAGCATCTCTGCTACCTGCCCCCAATATCTCATGGTTCCCTCGTGGTGCCCCAGTTGGCAGAGGTGCACTAACTGTCATCTGGGATCTGGTGTAAGCTAACAAGCATGCTTCTCTCTTGCTTTCTCCCTAACCATGGTCTCTCCCTCCTTTGTGATTCTCTCTCTGCTTGGTCCAATCCTGTATGGTCTGTGCTACTCTCCCGTGCTCCCTGCAGAGGCCCAGAGGCTGCCCTACTATGCCACCTACTGTCCCACAAGGCTGCTCATTCACTCCATGTGCACCAGCCACTATCTGGACATCTTCATCACCTTCATCATCTGTCTCAATGTGGTCACCATGTCCCTGGAGCACTACAACCAGCCTACAGTGAGTCTTGGGGTTGCTATCTAGTCTAAGGCCATGTGGTGAGAACCAGCCTTGACAGGATTCCACCTCAGGGACAGGGCTGAGTAGAGGGCCACATGACCACAGCGTCTGTGAAGTCCCTCCATGATGGGCTTAATCCAGGCACTTGCTGGGAGAAGGTGCTGGTGAATTAGAAGCTTGAAAGAAAAGGTCACTCCTTCCAAGAGTGTGGGGAAGGTGGCATTGTTGAGCAGCCTAGAGCATGGGTGGTTGCCGTGTGTTAATATGGACTCTGTGAGGTATGGTGCATGCTTAAATCAGAACAGTAATGTCAGTGTTGGGAGAACCTTTGGGGTTTCTGGATGAAGAGGTTGAGCCTCAGAGAGTAGGTAGCAGAAGCCAGAATTGGAACTTAGGTTTGTGTTCAAAGTCTACTGGGGCCTCCACTGCCCACTGAGTAGCCTGGGTCTAGGGGATGACTTTCTGGGGGCAGGCCCATGGCAGGCATCCTTGGGGTGGATGTCAGACAGCATGCCTAAGAAGAATGTAAGGGGAAGGTGCTTTCTAAGACTCCTCTGGGCAGAGTTGGCAGGAAAGGTGGAGTCAAGCCTCCAAGTGAAGAATTTGCATTTTTCTTTAGTGGACAGAGAAGACTACTACGAAGTGAACAGTGGCAGAGTGAACAGTAATTGTAGAATTTCCAAATTAATGCGAAGAAATGGGGTTATTGCATTTTACAATGACCAATTGTTTGTCCTGTGCTCAGCACTGAATGTTAGCTTATTTAATCATCACAGCAACTTTCTGATAGGCAGCTGGGGTTATTTTCTAAAAATCTTACTTGAAGAAACTAAGTGTCAGAGAGGCCAAACACTTTGCCAGGTGACAGATTAAATGAGGGGAAAGTGCTAAGCCAGTATTCAAATCTATGCAGTCTGGTTTGGGGATTCTTAATCACTACCCCACACTGTCTCCAAAGAGGAGGAACTAGGTCAGGCCAACACAAATAAGGAAATAATGTGAGATGACTATCACACATGAAGACATAAGGAGTGGAAAGGAATATAAATGAATAAAAAGGAACAAAGCATTATATTAAATGTAAATGGACTAAACTCTACCCTTAAAAGGCAATGACCCTTTGGTTGTAGAAAGGTTCTGGGGCAGATCATAGTCCAGAACCATGCTTCTCTTTTCCCTATAGTCCCTAGAGACAGCCCTCAAATACTGCAACTACATGTTTACCACTGTCTTTGTGCTGGAGGCTGTGCTGAAGCTGGTGGCATTTGGCCTGAGGCGTTTCTTCAAGGACAGGTGAGTGGCTGAGCCATACTAGGGCAGAGCAGGGTTGGGACGAAGTCCTGATCTTTGAAGCAGCCTGAAGGAGCCAGTAACATCTGGCTATTGATTGCCACAGATTCCTAGCTGCTGACTAGATCCCTGGACAGGAAGTGATTAGTCTCGTTAGATGTATATGGGATACAGACTGTCTCAGCTCATCTCCTGTAGGTCCTCTGTAACCTGAAGACAGAGTATGGTCTGCCTGATGCTAACTTTTCAGAGGAAGCAGCTGAAGCTCAGAGAGCTCAGCACACCGGCCAAATGCTACCTGAAAGTAGTTTTGGATGTTTAGACTAGTTTAGGAGTTAGACTTAGAAGTCAGAGTCCATGCCTCCTCTCTCCTCCCCTTCAGGAGGCCAGAGGTGTTTCTTCAGATTGGACAGCTCCCTGTTTAGGAAGGAAAAAAAGGAATCATAGAGGAAGGGTAGACGGTAGGGTATTCGCACATTATAGTGGGCCCCACAGGAGTGTGACGTGCTGGGAGATGACCTTCCACTCAGGTGTGTCTAAGTCACTATGCCTTTCCCCTATTCCCACTGATGCTTCAACTGCCCTGCTGTACAGATGGAACCAGCTGGACCTGGCCATTGTGCTGCTGTCTGTCATGGGCATTACACTGGAGGAGATTGAAATCAATGCCGCTCTGCCCATCAACCCCACCATCATCCGGATCATGCGTGTTCTGCGTATCGCCCGGGGTAAGTAGGAGACAGTACAGGACAGAGACAGGCAGAATCAGGAAGGGGGCTCCCCATTGCCTAGGAGAGAGCACGTAGGAGTGGGGTGAGAGGTAGAGCATGTGAACAAGAGGAGCTCTTTGCTGAGTAGGGCAGAGCAGGATCCAGAAGAAGCCCACATGTCACCCCTGTGTGTGCACAGCCTCCCCCCTCCCCCGCTGCCCACGCTCATACCTGTGCACACCTCTGCTTCCTCGTGGCAACATAATCCGTGTGGTCCAGTCTCAGGCAGTGCCACAAGGACTCGGTTCCAGGTTCATGTGCTGCCTGGCATTTCTCCAGCACCGTGGCAGGGGCATGGTCTTCACCATGTCTTATAACCCTTCCTTTCTGCCCAGAAGCCTGCCTCTCATCCCCAAAGTCTTCCTACTTTCTCAAAATCTTATTGCCACAGCAATGGCTAGGTGCCTCTTGCTCTCCTGCCCGCCGCATTCACGTTTTAAGGAGAGAGAGGTATGCAGAAACACTGTGAGCCACACCAGAGTCCTTTTTAACCTGAAGGGACAGGAAGGGATGTGGGACCTTGTGTCCACACAGCAGTGTGGACTCACTGGTCCCCCCACTTGTGCTCCCCTCACTCACTGTGTTTCGTGGTCTTGGACTTTTTTTTTTTTTCCGAGACAGGGTTTCTCTGTGGCTTTGGAGCCTATCCTGGCATTCTGTCTGGAGACCAGGCTGGCCTCAGACTCACAGAGATCCGCCTGCCTCTGCCTCCTGAGTGCTGGGATTAAAGGCGTGCGCCACCAACGCCCGGCAGGTCTTGTACTTTTCTGTACCCATTTTACGTTCTGCTTTGTTCACATGCCCCTCACTCTGCAGCTGAGAATTTTTTATTCTTTTTTAAAAAATATTTATCTGTGTACTTTGTGCAAATGGGTATTTTGTCTGCTTGTACATTTGAACACCAGGAGAGGGCATTGGATCCCATGGGACTACAGTTATAGATAGTTGTAAACCGCCATGTGGCTGCTGGGAATTGAACTCAGGACCTCTGAAAGAGCAGCCAGTGCTCTTAACTACTGGGCCATCCCTCCAGACCCTGTAGCTGGGAACTCTGATCACGTACTGCTCTGTGTCTTCTCTCTTCTCTGAGTTCACACACTTGCATGTACACACCACTCATGTGTTCAAACGTATAGCCTGGACTGACAGCCAGGGCTGAATGTCACCCACAGTGTTGAAGCTGTTGAAGATGGCCACGGGAATGCGGGCCCTGCTGGACACGGTGGTGCAGGCTCTGCCCCAGGTAAGAGTCACACCCTTCTGGAACCCTGCCCTAAAATCCCAGGGTTCATTGTGTGGGGCTGGGCCCAGAAGGATTCAGGCTTTGATTTTCCTCCTCCCCTGGCCTGCCAAGGCCCAGGGTCCTGGGAAGTTACTTGAGCTTCTCTTGTTTCTCTTTGGGAACTCACAACATGGTCACCAGCATCCACTCTGTGTCTAGCCCTGTGAGGATTCTGAGGACCTACACAGTGCTTTTGGGAGTCCTTAGGTTGGTGGGGAGATAGACACCTCAGGGTCCTACGGGAAGAGGCCCGTTTTCTGCTCCCTGGAAGGAGGAGGCACAGGTTACTCCCTAGGAAATCAGGGAAGGTGACTTTTGAGCTGGACCTTTATGGGATGATGTCATGTAATGGATGATGAGGTTCTCATACAGCCTTCCAGGAGGGGAAGTACAAGCCCCAGACTGAGTGAGAGGACACTAATTAGATAGGATCATGTCCCTAGTCAGAAGAAGGTGAGCTGGGCTCTGGCTCACAGAAGGGGGTGTTTGTCATCTCTCTGATACTTGGACAGTGTTAGTCCCTCCCACCCCACCCAGCCATGTCCAAGCACCTGACCCTTGTACACATTCACTCATTCATCATGATTGACTTAGGGAACTTTATGTCTCATAAAAATCAGAGACATAGAACACAGGGAAGATAGAGGCAAGTAGGTTCTCTTGGTGACCTCCACTGAAGACACCACTTAAGTTCTGAGTTTGGTATGTGCTTCCCAGTGTTGCAAGATAAGCCTCCCAGAGACCACCACACAGACCCTTTTTTTTTTTTGAAACAGGTTTTCTCTGTAGCTTTGGAGCCTGTCCTGGAACTCACTCTGTAGACCAGCACACAGACACACTTAAAGCTGAAAAAAAGTCTTTATTTCCATTCAGTGACTGCATGGGGAACTCACCCACATCATACAGCCTGAGCTCTTAGATGTTTGTTTTTGTTTTTTGAGACAGGGTTTCTCTGTGCAATAGCCCTGGCTGTCCTGGAACTTGCTTTGTAGACCAGGATGGACTTGAAATCACAGAGACCCACCTGCCTCTGCCTCCCAAGTGCTGGGATTAAAGGCCTGCACCACTGCTGCCTAGCAGCTCTTGGATGTGCAAAAAGCACATCCTGGTTGACACACTCCAGTTAGCAAGAAGTGGAGCTGAGAAACCAAAAATGAGAATGATTTGTACATCTAGGGACTTTCCTGGAACTATGGGTTGGGTCTTTGATGGTCCATTTGGCAAGTGTTGTAGCCTATATGCTGGGTTTTAAGGGCAGAACAGTGTCTCTGACAGGGTCTCAGTGTGCTAAGGTATGGAAGCCTGTTACATTCCCTACTGGTTCTATGGACATGAGTCAAACTGTGGCATCATCTTGGGGCAGGAGGTTACATTGTCCCCTCAGCACTAAGAATTTTACAGAATTTATTCTCTGCTTTATGTAGTTAAGTAGGCATGAGCAAGCAGGGTGGGCTTGAGGGCTATAGTGAGGGCTAAGAGCAAAAGGATCATTGGCCCAGCAATGGTGGTAAGTGGAACAGTTAACCAGGGGGAATTGATGCCTGTTGTCAGATCCTTGTTGTCTCTTTTCTCTGTCTTCAGTGTTATTTCTGACCATGGCTAAACTTTCTCTAATTGCCCCGACTGGTTGGTATAGAAGCAACAGGTTTCTCCCAGTGTCATACGGAGACCCCCTCATTTCATGAAGTTGCTAAGTAATCTACCCGAGTTTCTAAATGGGAAACAGAATTTTCCAGATGGCTAGGTCCATGTTTACTTGAGTACTGAGTTCCTTAAAATTTTTATCCCCTACAATTAGGGCTGAAGTTCCAGCTGTGGTGGAACTTACCAATAGGGAATGGCTCACCACACACAGGGCAGCCCACCATCTAGATTTAGGTTGGCTCTGCCCATTTCCTCATTACAGATGAGTATCTGTGGAATGATACACACGAGGTCTCAAAGGAGTGCAGTCTCCTACACTGCAAACTGTTCAAAAGATGCACACTTGGCTGAGCTGTTAGTGCAAACAAGCCAAGTAGTGGCTGGGTCCTGGAAATACACTTGTCTGCTGTTGTTGGAGTTAACCTACCATGTATGGTGACAGGAATTTGCATAGGGGGAACTATCTATCGGGTATCTTAGTGCCATTAAGCTGTCTTTTCTTGGAGGTCTCCCAGGGTGAGCTTAGGTTGGTTCTATTTACAGTTTTCAGGGTTGGAAGTGGGGCATACTGTCTGACTAGTTCCTATCCCAAGGTTGTACGGGTATTTGGGATGCAGGGATGGCTAGCAGGCATTATCTGTCTGGTTGAGAATGGTTCATAAACCAATACTCTCCTTCTAGCATTCCAAACACCAAGGGTCTGGCTTCTGATACCTCGTGGACCTTTACCCTCCATGGATACCAAAGGAATTCCTGCTGATATTGGAGTTTTGAGGCTTGCCACCTTAGGGGGCTTATATTCCAGGGGCCAGTTTGGGGCAGATGGGCCAGATGACTCTCGGTGGAGGCCTCCTTTGGATAGTAAATTTGCTGCCTGGGTCTTGATAGCTCACATATAGCCTGACTCCCCTGCTTCTGCCAGTTTCCCAATGACCTTCAGTTTCCTGCCAGGCCCTAACTTTATGGATATGGGATTACATTCCCAAGACTAGTGCAATTACAGGCAGAGTCTCTTCTATGAAAGGGTCAGTGTGCCCTTAGGAATATGTGGGTTCACAACCCACTGAGCACAGTGGTATTTGCCTGGCTTCTGGAAGTTTGGGGGGCTGTCAGTAGAGCAGGCATAGTGTTGGGTAGATTGGAGCCCCACTCCCTCAAAAGTGGACCTACAGCCCCAGGAGCATACTCCTTTGTAGCCTCTTTTCCCAGTCGCCTCTGGGTGTCATATTTTACAGAAACCCACCCACAGGGTGAGTTGGTCTCAGTGGATGGACTGACTGGCTATCAGCTCCCTGGTTCCATTCTTTCTTAATTCTCACCCAAGGTCCTGATTCATGGGGATCTCGGGGATTTCCCATAGGGAGACAAAGAAGACAAAATAGGACAGTCAGTCATAGGGCCATGCCAGTTTTATCTTTAGTGGGTTGGAAGATCTGGTGACAACCCATCTATCTTTGTCCTCTGTAGCCTTCTCAGCTTTGTGTAGTGGAGTTGAGGGATGACACTGGCAACTTTCACTCCTGTAGGTGTGGTGAGGACCACAGGGTATGGGCCTTTCCATGTTGGCTCCAGGCTCTGTATCAGGGTCCTCTTTACCCACACAAGGTCAACAGGCTGTACCTTGTGCAGAGGCTCAGGTATGGACAAGGCCACAGCCCCTTGAACCATCTGATGAATAGTCCTCTGGGCTTATTGCAGGGCCTGTAAGGACTTGAGGAGGGAGTGGTTAGTAATTTCTGCCTTATGGACATCTCTTAGCTTAGGGAAGAGACAGGGAGGCCTCCTGAACATAATTTCAAATGGGGAGAAATATTCTCAATATGGGGTGCTCCTAGTTTTTAGAAAGGCAAGTGGTAGGAGGTTGGCTCATTCTTTGACAGTCTCAAGGACATACTTAGTTAAAATTTCCTCCAAGGTACTATTCATCCTCTCTATCTGACCTGAGTTTTGTGGCCTATAGGCACAGTTTAGTTTCCAGTCAACATTAAGGGCCTTTGCCAGATTTCAAGAAACATTGGCCATGAAGGCAGGCCATTGTCGAACCCTAGAGCAATCCAAACCTAGGAATCGACTTTTGGAGGAGTTTCTTGGTGACTATTGAGGCTGTCTCCATTCAGGTAGGAGATACTCACCTAGCTAGAGAAGGTATCTATAAAAACTGGTAAATGCTTATACCCATGAACTGTGGGTTTTATGAAGTCCACTTTCCATTGTTCCCTGCTAACTTGGGCATAGATTCCTTCTAGGGTGTTTCTTCCTCTTTTGGGATTCACTTGTGCATAAGTAGTGCCTCTGGACACAGTGTCTTTGACAAAATTGTCTAGTGGATGGATATGATGTCTGGGCCTGAGTAACTCAGCAATATTGGATGCCCTCAGATGGGTGGCCTGGTGGAGTTTGGTGACCATTTATCTCCTGATAGCATCAGGGAGTACCGCTCTCCTCTCTAGCAAGAACCACCATCCATTTGTCTCCTGTTCTACAACTTCCATCTTTGACCATTTAGTTTCTTCCTGTGTGTAGTTTGGGCACTGGAGAAATTTGGGTTCGATCAGGGTAACCAAGATCTGGAGAGGCACCACTGGTTCTAGGACCACCTTCCATGGGCCAAGTCTGCCGCCCTGATCCCTTGTGCTTTAGGGAAGTCTGTTTTTATGCCTTTCACAGTGGACAATGACTACTTTCATTTTTATTTTTTGGCAGACATATGGCTTCTAGTAGGGTCAGGATTTTTTTTTTTATTTCCTTTCCAGCCAAGGTGAGGAGTCCTCTTTCCTGATAGAGGGTCCCATGGACATGGGCTGTGACAAATGATGGCTTTGTCCTTCCCCCAGCAAAGTGCCTGGGTTAATGTCAGAAGCTTAGCCCTTTGTGCTAAGGTCCCTCAACTGAGGGACTGGGTGGGCCCACACCATCCGGTCCAAGGTGACAACTGCTTCCCAGCATATCCGATTCTGTTCTTGAACAAAACTGCTCCCATCAGTGTACATTACCTCTCCTGTTTCTCACAGTGGGACATCTGTTAGGTCAGGTGTGACAGATTGGACCTCATCAGTCACTTCCCGGCAATCATGGAGGGGCTCTGTTGGGTTATCATCTGGCAACAAGCTGGCAGGGCTGATGGCTGAGGTTTCACAGAATCAGATATGGGGCTGGTCCAGCCTGCCTGATAATGCATTACTGGGGCATCAGACATCCACCCTTTTGGGTTCCCCCTTTGGGAAGGCTCTACAGAGTGCAGGGTGTTTAGGAACAGTTCTTGATCCAAGTTCAATGTGTCAGCTTTTCACTAGCATGGCCGAGAGCCACCACATTGACACTGGTATACAATGGCTTAGCTAGCTTTGAGACCTCTGGTATCCACAAGCAGCAAATTCCTGCACTTGTTTCTTCTTTTGAGGTGTGGGGATCAGTAGGATTGCCTACATTTGGCTCTGGGAAAGAATTCATTTGCCTCCTTCCAACTTGTACCCCAAGTAGGTGACATGGGGTGCACATAGTTGGGCCTTCTTGGCTGAGACTTAGTATCCTGGGCCCTTTGTTGTCTACATCAGGCCCCCACTGGCCTTCTTACATTCCTCCTCAATTTCTGAGGCTATGAGGAGGTCATCCCCATACTGTAACAGGATGTTCTTTGTATACCTCTGCTGAAAAGTCAGGAGGTCTTCACTTAAGGCCTCACTGAACAGTATGTGAGAATTTTTGAACCCTTGTGACAACCTAGTCCAGGTCAGTTGGCATATAAACCCTCTTAAGATCAGTCCATTCAAGGGCAGCAATGGGATGGCTTATAGGTGACAATATGAGGCAAAAGAAGGCATCTTTTAAGTCCAGAATTATATGTACTTATTTTTCTGGTGTCAGGGACTCAGGAAGGTGTAGGGATCAGGAATCATTGGATGGGTGGTACCCACCTTTTTGTTTACCTTTCTGGGATCCTTCACAGTTCTATAGTTCTTGGTGCCTGGTTTTAGGACCGGGAGCAGGGATTGTTCCAAGAGGAATGGCAGGGGTGAGGATTCCAGCTTTTGTAGACTGTCATTGGTTTAGCAACCTCCCCCAGCCCCCCCCCCCGTTTGGTTTCCTGGCTCACAGGGTACTATTAAAGCCATACTTGGTAGTAGTACTTAGTAATTGGATGACAATTGGTGCTTAGTGGTCAGTCCTGATGAGTTATCCTCAACCCATACTACAGGATACTGCTGCTGCAAATTCTGCAGGTATCCTGAAGTTTGAGCACCATTTTTGGGTCCCAGACTTGGTTGGAGGAAGTATTCTTCTAATAGGGGCATGTCACAAGAATGCAGGTTGGAGGATGAATAGGATTCTAAGTAAGACAGGCAATGACCTCCACAAAGGATGTGGGGGTCTGTAGTATTTGTAGTAAGTCTCTTCCAATTAGTGGGATGGGGAAATCTGTCATGACTAAGAAGGAGTGGGTTATTGTCCCAAATCCACAGTCCGAGAAGTTGTCCAGGAAGAGTAGTTTGTCCATTTCCAAAGGGAAAGCAACATGACTCATCTACAGTCTCACTGGAAAGCAAGGGCATTTGCAGGGAGAGATGTGATTTCTCTAATGCCCGAGGAAGGGAATGTCCTTGGATACACACGAGTGCAAACAGGAAGTAAGTTAAAGCCTAGATTTGAACTCCCTGCCTGGGATCCATGGGTAGTCCCTGAGCAGGTGACATAATGTCTCTTGCCTTGGCTTCCTCACCTGTGAATGAGGATGTGACAGTCTTTCAAAGTTGGAGGTGTCTGACAGTTAAATCTCATCAAATTCTTAGTAGGGCTTGGCTCATGGGACGTGCCCTAGCAGAGTCTGCTACAAGTAGAATGAGGATGTGGTGGTGACGGGCGTGTGTCCGGCCTCTCTGATCCCTGGTTATCCTGTCAGGGCTCTGTAGGCCAGTGTTAAGTTGACACAGGGTACACGGAGATACTGGGGAAGCCCTGGCTCAAATAGGAGACACATGATGGTAATTTCGATGACGTAAGCATGTGCCAAGTGACATGTGGCTGTGGGTGAGGGGCTTGTCCTTCAAAAATCTGCTAGCCTTAGTCCATGCTGTTAAATGGTGTATTCCCTGCTTTTCTCACTGCTGCTACATAATACCCGGCAAAAGTGGTTTACAGAGGGAAGGGTGTATTTTGGCTTGCAGTTCAAGGGTACAGTCCATCACGGCAGGGAAGACATGGCGGCAGGAGCTTGAGGCAACTGGTCACAATGCAGCTGCCCGCAGGAAGCAGAGACAGATCAACAGTGCTGTTCAGCTCACTCTCTCCTTTTTAGTCAATGCAGGACCTCAGCTGTTTACATTCAGGGTGTGTGTCTTCCACCTCAAATAGCCCAGTCTAGAAACTCCCTCACAGGCACGCCCAGAGGCTCATGTCCCATATGAATCTAGGTTCTGTCAAGGTGACAATATAAGCCACCACAAATGGACACTGTAGAGTACAGATGGAGAAGACTTTGGGGACGGCTCCTCAGAGGAGGTGACCTGGACTGGGCTTTGAGAAATGATCATGAGGGACTAACCATACAAGTCCCAAGCATCTTCCCTGTGGAGGGTCAGGATACTCAGAGATCTAGCAGTCCATTTCCACATGGTTGGAATCAATGAGCAGGAAGATCAGACTGTGAGGGGAGTGGGTGGCAGATGTCACAGTAGGCTTTCAGCTTTGGGGCAAAACAAATGTGGGTTTTGTGTTGTGGACTCTGTATGCCATAGGAGTATTTGGACAAGAGGGCTCCAAGCAGAGCTGCCTCTGTGTGGACCTTGGAGGAAAGGCTGGAGACAAAGAGGCAGATGAGGAGGCTGCTGGGACTCTCAGGCTCTAAAGGGGCTGAGGGTGAAGGTAGGGGACTGGTGGGAAAGACTGGATCCTGCTTAGGAAACACTGCCAGCCAGGTCTAAGCAGGGCAGGAAGCTGAGCTTTGTGGGCCGTGGTGAGGCCAGGTCTTCCTCGGCTATCAGGGCCACACACTGTGACTTGCAGTGTCCACTAAGTGCTTGCGCAATCATTAACATCATTAATTAGCCTGCACTGCAGTGTGGAGCGGCTGGGAAGGAAGCCTGCCTCTAGAGCAGTCTGAAATCCATGGGGGCTCACTTCATAGTGATTACCTCAAACGCCTCCCGACTCAATTCTCGAAGCCTTTGGAAGGTCAGGAGGGATTTTCTTTGTAGGGAAGGAACGCCTTCTAGCCTTGTCCATAGCATGAGGGAAAGGCAGTCTCCCATTGATGCCTGGGTTTGAATCAGGTTTGGAATCTGGGGCATCCTGTCCTGTAGGAACCATGGGACAGGGGTGGCTGCATTTGTAGGAGGCTCCTGGGACCACGGCGTGTGTGATTCCTTCACTAAATTCCTTTTTGTGGTCAGTCTTGTGCTGGCCTGCGGAGGCCAAGTCTGATTTCATCCTATTGTATCCCAGGCCAACAAAGGTCAGTTTGTTGGACTTGAATTCCTGCCCCATCACTTGTGATCCAAATAACTAAGCAGGTCCTTTGGCTCTCAGTCTGTCTCATTTTCACCTGAGAAATGGAGCAAAAGATGGCACATAGATTTATTTGAGTGGTGTGTGTGTGTGTGTGTGTGTGAATGCATACACATGTGTGAGGGTGTGGCGTCAAGTGTCTTCTATTATTTTCTACCTTACTTTATTGCTTTTCTTTTCTTTCTACTTTTTTCTTTTCTTTTCCTTTCTTTCTGTCTTTCTTGCTTTCTCCCTTCCCTTCTCCTCCTTTCCCTTCCCCTCCTTCCCTCCCTCCCTCCCTCCCTCCCTCCTTTCCTTCCTTCTTTCTCTCTTTCTCCCTTTTCTTCTCTTTTTCCCCTCTTTCTTTCCTTCCTTCCTTTCTCTCTCTCTCTTTCTCACTTCCCTTCTCCTTTCCCTCCCTCCTCCTCTTTTTCTTTATTCCATTTTTTCTTTTTCTTTAGGGCAGGGTCTCTTCCTGAGCCTGGAGCTCATGAACAGCTGGTCCATGAACTCCAGAGACCTGCCAGTCTCTGTCCATATCAGCTGGACAGATGCACACCACTGTGCCCAGATTTTATGTGGCTGCTGACTGAAGCCAGGTCCCCACGTTTGTGCACTTTACCCACTGAGTCATCTCCATACTCCCTCATAGGCTTTTGGGACGACCGATATGCTTATGGCAAAGACTGTAAGCTTTCAATTCTTTTTTTTTTTAATGTAAATATTTCTCAAAATTTAGTTTTTTTTATTATTTTTTATTTGAATTAGAAACAAGATTGATTTACATGACAATCCCAGTTCCCTTCTCCCAGCCTTCAATTCTTATTCGGTAAGCTATGGTTCGCTAGTCTTGCCCTTCAGGAGGTGACAAGGGGACAGCAGACATGGATACTCAGCCTGGTGCAACAATGCAGAGCCTGACCCTGCCTCTGTCCCCCTGGCAGAGGTCCTTCACCTCTACCCTCCTGCCCCAGGGATCCCCCCTTCCCTGCCTTCCTCCAGACCTGGGACTCCTCTTCCCCACTCTCCCCCAGGTCTCCCTCTTCTCCTCTTGAATATCCCTAGGCCTCTGGCCCCAAGCCTAGCCCATCTCTCTCCACAGGTGGGCAACCTGGGCCTCCTCTTCATGCTGCTCTTCTTCATCTATGCTGCCCTGGGAGTGGAGCTCTTTGGAAAGCTGGGTGAGCAATGCCTAGGCTGGGCCCCTCAGCCTGCCACCGAGGTCATTGTATGGGGCAGTTGTCTCAGTAGCAGGACTCCTCAACTAAACCCAGTCTTAGCGTAGGGTATTTTCTGAGGCCCTGGCTCATGAATGTACATCAGATCTGTGTGGCGGAGTCCTGGATTCAAGCTGTCTGGTCTTCTGGGGAGCCTCCATCCTCTGCTTCCAGCCACTGCCTGTCCTGAGCCAGGGCCACCCCAATAACAGAGCCCAGCCCCACATATAAGGTCAGTTCCAGAAATCAGGGCTCCCCGAGGGGCTGGCCCTCACCCTACCACCTCTCTCGGGAGCCATTATTGGATAGAAGAGCCACATGCTCCTAAGATTGAACTCCTAGCCAGTGTACCACTTCCTTCAGCCTTAGTTTTCCCATCTGTGGGCTGGGCACAGTTCACATGCACATGGTTGTAGGGGGTGGTGCTGTTGGTGGACAGGCTGACCACCTCTCCCCTCTTAGTCTGCAATGATGAGAACCCGTGTGAGGGCATGAGCCGGCACGCTACCTTTGAGAACTTCGGCATGGCCTTCCTCACGCTCTTCCAGGTCTCCACAGGCGATAACTGGAATGGAATCATGAAGGTATTCATGGGTTAGCTGAGGGGGAAATCAGGTAGTTTCAAGTCTTGGGTGCATGGTGGTACAGTACTGCTCCAGATATAGTACTCTCTGCATGCCCAGTATCCCCTTGTACACAGGAGGAGAGTCAGGGACCAGAGATGTTCAGGGACCTCCTTGACTCTAGTGAAATGGAACCGGGCTTAGGTCAGGCAGGACCTTGCTGGCTGGCCTGAAAAGCAGCAATGAGTGCCTAGGGAACTCCATGCTTCTCAAATTTTGTTATAGCTCTGAGAGGTGGGATCAGCCACAGTAGGGAGTGAAGAGGGCCAGAGCACACCAGATTAGGACCCTAGGGACATGGCTGAAGCTGAGACAAGCTCAGGCTACCATAAGCTAGATGGGTATGAAGGTGGCTAGGACTCTGGAGGAGTATTGAATCTAGACCCCGTGGTATGCACATGTGTGCCTGCCTGTCTGCATGTGTGTGTGCGTGTGCGTGTATGTGTGCGTGTGTGCATGTGTATGTGTGTGTGTGTGTGTGTGTGTGTGTGTGCGCGTGCGTGCGT